TGGCCTTCGCGGCGACGCCCGGTCAGCGGCGTGTGCGTTCGCTGCGCCGACGCGGACGAGAGGCCGTTCGGCGCGTGCGTGCACTTGGACCACATCGTCATGCAGCCGGGCTCGGAGGCCGCCCGATCGGCGAAGTACAGCTTGAACATGCTCGACGAGCGTGCGAAGTTCGCCGGAGTCTTTCCGGCGAGCTCCAGGGACGCCGACACCATCGTCGAGGCCCACCACACCTTCGACAACGCTGTGCCTGAGATCCGCCGCTGGTGGAGCGACAATGCCCCCGAACTTGCGGCTGCGAGCCGCAGGATCCGCAGGATGCGGCCGTTCGCGCACTATCGGAGCATCCCACGTGCGCCGCAGAGCAACGGAGTCATCGAGCGATTCAACCGCACTGTGGTCGAGGGGGCCCGGGCTTTGCTCCTCATGGCCGCCTTTCCGGCGTCGTGGTGGGTGTGCGCGATCTGTTATTGGTGCATGCAGTATAACGGCCACTGCAGGGGGGCGGACGGGTTCACTCCGTACGAGCGCCGCTACACGACGTCCGCCGAGTACGAGCAGTACCCGTTCGGAGCGCTAGTATTCGTCGCTGCTGCCCGGCGCGCCGGGGCCAAACCTTCGAAATGGAGCCCCAGGATGGTGCCGCATGTGCTGGTCGGCATCGGCTGCGGGCCAGGCTTCGCGTGGAACCGGACGTACGGCGTCGTCAAGCTAGAGCACCTCCTCAACAGCGACCGGCCGTCCCGAGCAGGCATCAGGTACTCCGCGGAGGTCGACTTCCCAGACCGCATCATATTCCCCATCCGCCAGCGCCTCAAGCTCGCCGGAGCATCCAAGGATGCGAGCTTCCCAGCGCCAGCAGTGACTGACGACAACGAGTCGTGGGCGTTGCAGCTGTCCGAGGTGAGCGAGGAGCCGGGCGACGAGGCCTACGACGGGGCCATGGAGGAGAACGCCCCGAAGCTGGAACCCGGCAACTTCGTCGAGTCCGTCGTGCTGGACCCCGAGGACTCGCAGGCGGCGGACGACCCGGAGCCAGAGGAGGAGGTGGTCGAGAGGAACGGCGGCGAGCAGGCCGCCACCGAACACGAGCCTAAGGACGAGCCTGCCGAGTTCGGCCGTGCGGAGTTGGAGGTTGAGGGGAATCGTGCGCCCAAGGGCTGGAGGATTGACACCTTCCCGCACGGGCACCATACGAGGACGATTTCGGTTCCGCCCTGGAGCCGGAGGCCGCCCACGGTCCTCCCCGAGGCATGGCTCATGTTCAAGAAATCTCACCAGGAGAAGTTGCGCCAGGAGTGGAAGGAGAAGGATCCCGTGGGCTTCGCCGCTCAAGAAGCTCGGAAGGCGGCATATGAACATGCCAAGCGGACCAGGGGGAGCCTCCCGGCAAGTGCCGTGGACGCTGCGCGCGAGGACGCTCGTGGACCCCCGGCTCCTGAAGTACCGGCTGTGGCCCAGCTCATGTACGTGGGCAGGGATCGGCCGAGCGCGACGCCCGAGAACGAGGCCGCGCAAGTTCAAGATGTTCCTGCTGCTGCGACGGCCGGCGCGGTGGCCACGCGTCTGAGCCAATCTGGACTGCAGGGCGACATCTTGCGGACCGCTCGCACGAAAATACAGAGCGGGCAGTTCAAGGTTGTTGTGGTGGATATATCTACGGAGGAGGATTCGAATATCGCGGAGCTCATGCCGCAGCACGCCCTGACCGTCAGAGTCACGGAGGGCGACGAGCTGTGCAGGAAGGAGACCATCAGGGCGCTGCACGGCATCGTCCGGGCTTGCAGCCAGCTTGGCATTCCGCTGCACGTCTGGGTCAGCACGGTGCGCACGCCAGGCGAACTCCCAGACCGCCCTGTTGTGGTCGCAGTTGGCCTTTGCCGCCACGTCGTCAAGCAGGGGGGCTACATCTACTGGGGGTGGCCGCCGACGTCCTCCGTGTGGTTGCGCACCGACGTGCGGCAGCTGCTAGAGTACGCTGGATCTGATCCTCGTGACGTCTCGATGGCTAGCCTCAGCGAGTCTGCCGTGGAGGGCCAGAGCGAGGACCCCATCAAGCGCCGCACGAACGACCTCCTGCGTGTGTTCACGAACAGCGCGGGGCTCCTTAAGTTGCTCGAGCCGCGCGCCCAGGTGCCGGAGATGCCGCTGGAGTCGATCGACGGCTGTCGCGACGAAAGTGTGGACCTCCGAGGGCCATGCTCCCAGGAGCTCGCACGTCTGATCTGGCAGTCCATCTTGCCCATCGCCGGGGGCCACGCCGACCACGACGACACCGCGCAGAACGACGTCGGCAGGAAGACGCCTAAGTGGTCCGTGCTGGTCACCCGGAAGGTCCCGCTGAAGTCGGAGGAAGCAAAGTCGGCCAAGGCACGGGCTGCCATAGACAAGGAGCTCTCTGGGCACCGTACCCGGAAAACCTGGGATGAGTCCACGGTGAGGGAATACAAGGACCTCATGCGCGACAACTCGAAGGCCGAGGTCATGACGGGCCGCATCTTCGGGATCTTGGGCGAGACCAACGCCGAAGCGGAGCATGAGGAGGATAGGAGGATGAAATTTCGTGCAGTGTTCCAGGGATCGAACATCAGAACTAAAACGGGGACGGCGGCGGTGAACTTGTACGAGGAGGTGAGCAACAGCCCGGCGTCTTTCGTCGCCATTCGGTGCACCATGGCGGTGGCTATCCTGAAGCGCCTCAGCATCACGGTGCGGGACGCGCTGCAAGCCTACCTCCAGGCTCGCATCAACGTGGACGGCAGGATCGAGACGTGGGTTGAGATACCCAGGGAGTGGTGGCCCGACTCGTGGTTCGAGGGGGGTGACAGGAGCAAGCCACTATACGTTCGGCCCGTGTGCCTGCTCCTCCTAGCCTTGTACGGGCACCCGGAGGCAGGAGCCCTGTGGGAGAAGAAGCTCACCCAGGTATTGCTCGGACTCGGATGGCATTCGGTGCCCTCTTGGCCGGGCGTGTTCGTCCATGCCGACGGGGGCATGCTGACCGTCTACGTCGACGACCTGCTCCTGGCGGCTCTGGGGTGCAAGGCCGACGCCCACTGGGAGGCGCTGTGCAAGAGCATCGAGTTCAAGGACGAGCCGGCGCCGGTGAACAAGTTCATTGGTGCGTACTACGCTCTCGACCCTTTCGATCCGAAGCTCCCCGATGCGCCTCGCACAGTCACGACGTCGATGATCGATTACACCAGGGCGATGGTAGAGCGCTTCTGCACCGACGCCGGCCTCAGGATCACCAGGCCCGTGGACACGCCGTACATCTCAGCCGAGTCCTGGGCGCAGGACTCCGAGGAGGCAGGGAGGTTTGCAGACGTCGCGGCGTCGCACTCTGCCTCGTCTCTCTTCTTGTGCCGTGTTGGGCGGCCCGACCTGGCTGCAGCCACGCAGCGTCTGTGTAGCGGAGTGTCGCGCTGGACCACTGTCCACGACCTAGCGCTCATCCGTGTCATGACGTATGCTGCTTGCACCTCCACGCACGTCCTCAAGGGCACGCTTGCCCCGGCCGACGTGGACGATCTGTTGCTGCTGACGTACTCTGACGCCGATTGGAACGGCGACCCGATGACCAGCAAGTCCGTGACCGGATGGTGGATTGAGCTGTTCTCGCCGGCCTCTGGCCGTAGCTTCCCATTGTCTTGGGGATGTTCGCAGCAGTCGTCTACTGGAGGATCCACCGCGGAGACTGAGACAGTCGCATTCTCCCATGTCGTGCGGCGCGAGGCCATACCTATCCAGATGCTCCTGGACGAGGTCCTCCCACGCAGGATTGGGATAGCGTGCAGGGTCGACAACATGCAGACGATCCAAGCCGTGACCAAAGGATATTCGAAGCGGCTGCGCCACCTGCCGCGCACGCAGCGCGTCTGCGTCGGCATGCTGCACGAGATGTTGAACGACCGGGACCTCCAGCTGAGCATAGAGCACTGCCCCACCTTGCAGATGAAGGCCGACCTCTTCACCAAGGTCCTGAATGGCCCGAAGTTCCGAGCAGCGCTGGAGATGATCCACATGATGCCACAGGCTTGACTTCTGCGGCAGCGGTGCCAGCAGTCGCTCGGCGAGGGGGGTGTGGATGAGATCCCATTGCGAACGCCGCCGCTCGTGCCGGCAGGGGAGAGACACTGTGTGGCAGCATCCTTGTTTCTGACACATCAGGCAGAGACACTGTGTGGCGGCATCGTTGTTTCTGACACATCAGGCAGAGACACTGTGTGGCGGCATCCTTGTTTCTGACACATCAGGCTGAGACACTGTGTGGCGGCATCCTTGTTTCTGACATATCAGAATAGAGTCAGAGTGAGTGATTGTACGCATGTATAGCAGGTGTGATAACATGTTGTGTTTTTTCCCCCCTGTTGCCGCCCTCAGGCCTCAAGGGGGGGGCACGATTTGTCCGCCTCAGTGTGCCCGGAGTCGAAACTGTGTATGTGACTCGGGGCGGAAATTCGGGCAGTTATTACTTGTCTCAAGAATTCGGGATGCACTTCTGTGCACAAAGGTCTTGCACTTGCCGGTCTGGTGGCGCCTTCTGGCGGCTCACCGCGGCAGTGCGGGCCCCAGGCTGTGGCCTTGCCGTGTGCTGGTTCCGGGGTGCCGTGATCGTCCCACTTCTGCCTCGTGGCCGCCGGCCTGGTGGCGCCATTCGGCGCTCACCGCGGCGCGCCTCGGTTGCGAGTGTTCTGGGGAGTGTTGCGTCTCTGTGCCCAAGCCGACTTGTCGGACCGATTTCCGCCGGGCTGGTGGCGCCTTCGGGCGGCTCACCGCGGCGCGTGTGTATAGGATCTGGCAAAAACCAGTTATCCCACTAAGTGGGATAGAAGACGTGTGCACACTTGCGCATAATGTAGAGCGTGAAGGGGAACCGAGCTGTTAGACAAAAGTGTTTGACACTGCTCTCCGTTCCGATGCAACTTTGGCTCAAGCCCAAACGGGTTTGTAGCCTAACCAGGTTGAACTGCCAGTATCTTCCGTGATCCACGTGCCGGTGCATGGGAAAAAAGGCCAAGTGGCGACCTCGGACCAAACGGGCCGGGGAGCAAGTCAGAGCTAGAACCCAGTACTACACGGAGGTCCAGGAGACCGAGCAACAAGCCATAACGAGCGAGGCCAACGTAGAGGCCAACGGGAACCAGAATACCGAGCAAGAGCTAGGGCGGTTGGAACAACAGACACTTGTCTTTTCCACACGACTCCTCCGAACAAGCTGCGCGGAATGCAGATCGGAGGTCCGTTTCCTGCTTGCGCCGATGACAACATTCCCACTGGGCCAGCGTTCGAGTCCCAGCTCGCTCGTCGCCGCCACCAACAGGGAGAGCTGAGCGCTTTCCTGGGCGCGGAGAAGCGCCCTTACGGGAGCGGGCAGTACTGGTTACGTTCCAGCAAGCAAGGTCTGGTCACCACGTCCGCTTAGGCGGCGGAGGAGACGGCGAACCTGCTGGCTGGAGAGGAGCCTCCGACTCCAAATCCTGCCACCGCGACGCCCAGGATGGCATTCTTGTTCGTCTGGGTCACGGTCCTGGGGTTATGCCTCAAGGACTCGGCCATCGAACGGACCTTGCGCCAATGCCCCGACTTCCTCTGGATCAATCCACGCGCCGAGGGCACTGACGCCCCCGAATGTCCTCCCCGGGATGTTTGTACGCGCGTCGCCGGCAGCATGTGGAAGGTCTTGCGGATGCCGTGGGTAGGGTTGGCGGTGCGTTGACCGGGCAAACTGACGTCACGACCATCGACGGCGCTCTGAAGTTTCACGCGAATGGCCCCATGCAGCCGTTCGTTGGCGACCATGGTCTCACTGCGTTCAACTTCTCACAACAGACCCGTGAGTCTATCAAGCTGCCGTCAACGCCGCCCGCGGCTCCACGCGCGTCGGATATGGCGGGTCAGTGCAGCGCACGTGCTGCCGTGTCTTTCATGTGTTCACCGTCTGGCACAGCTACGAGGTCAAGACATCCTCGTGCGTTACTGCCCGTGGCGGCTGGCGGCAGCATCAGTCGGCCTGCGTCGGTGGCGACGCCCGCAGATGATGTCACGCTCGAGGCTACATACATGCTGGACCCTTGTGACCGCACCTTGACCCCATGGGGACCCAATCTGTGTCGCCCCAGTGACATCCCAACGGACAACAATGCGGGCGGTTTCAATCGCGACAATCTTTTTGACCCTGAGGCGACTACCACACGCTGGTCTGCGTTTGCGGACGGTCGGTACTTCGCGTGCACGATTAGCGACAATGGTTGGACCCTTCTGCTGAAGGAAGACTTTGGCCCCGCTGTCATCCATGCGCTTGGCCCCGACGGCCGCGCGTTCAAATGGGTCAGTTTGCATGGTGACTCCAGTTGTCTCATGACGTCCGCTGGAAGGAAAAAGACCACGAGGACCCCGTGCGCGGGCATCGATGAGATGAACGCCGCCCGCGTCCAGCAGCAAATTGCCGGTGCCTCCAACCCTACGTTCGTCTCTCTCGTTTGTCCCTGGATGCGCGATTTCCAGTATCAAGCTGGCGCCGCATAGGAGGGTTTCAGCACCTGGATGCGTGACGATATCTTCCTTTGGGCGTTGTCGGGGCACGATTACAAGCGCTGCTGGCTCGTGCATGATACCCCCATCGGTTGTGATTTACCTTTGTTGCCTGAGGCCGGTGGCGGCGCCCGTGCCTCAGACCCACGGATGCGCGACAGTTGTATTGCGAAGAGTTGCGACAGCAACTTGATTCTATCCTTGCTTCTCGTGCGCCATGCAATTCCGAGCAGCAGACCATCATCCAGCATGTCCGCCAGGCTCGGGCGTTCTACATGGCTAATGAGCATGATGAATACCGCGAGCTCAATGAGGTCATTTGGGCGTACTGGGCAGAATCTTTTCTTGCTCGTGTCAAGCGGCGACACTACCAGCGTGGTTTGAACGCTTTCCTGTGGTGGAGTGGCAATGGTGCTGCTACCGATGGCAACTATATGAAGCTCCAACCTCATTGGGCTCGTGCGCCTGTACAGCCTGACCGTGAGCGTTGGTGGTTGCAGTTCAGAGACGGCGTGGTCCCGGTGATCCCAGAGCATGTCAAAGTGGATGTCTATCGCTGTATTGAGTTTCTGGGTTGCTTCCGCTGCCCTACGGTTATGGACCCTGGAAAGGCCCATCAATCGTGACTACCGGAGAAGTTCAACCAACTCTTGGGCCATATTATCCCCCATGTTTACTGTCCGCGGTATGCCGGCTGATCAGTGGATCGAGACCCAGGGCCGTCCATGCACCAACGCCTGGCACCCGCTCAAGACGGATCACAATTTTGTGCAGTTGACGCAGCAGTTCGTGCATGCTGCCAATCTGCGGAATCTGCGCGTTTTTTTTTCGCTGCCGACGCAGCCTTTCCCGTTCCATCATCCGTTGATCCAGCCCGTCAACGATTGTCAGGGCCGCGCCTGGGCCGCTGAGATGCGCGGAGCACTCCGTATGCGCCTGGAGCAACCCACGCAGTTTTGACGTGAAAAGGGCTTTCTTGTGCTACAGGTTAGGGCTCTCGGTGAACGCGACTTGGTTACGTCGATGAACCGGATTTTCCAGGCAATGAAATTCCTGGCTTACGCCTTTCCCACGCCCCCGCCAGGGGCAATTCCCGCGCCTGGAACATCATCTGGCGATCCGACCCCTTTGGCCCAGGCCTTTCTTCTGGCTTCCCAACGCCCGGGCGCGTCGACATCAGGGGATGCGCCGCCTGCATATATCCAGGCAGTTCTACTGCTCATGGGGGGGACTTGGATGGCAGAGCCATTTATTCGGAGGCGGAGTGGAAGTACTTTTTCATGCACGGTCATATCCCCACGTCTCAATGGCCTGATTAATGATTTCCCCAGCGTCTGGGCATCGTGGTCATTCCCCGAACGTGACTTCCCCGAGACTACGGCCAGAAAAACTTACCGGGTGCGCCATGCCGCCACGTGGTTGGTTTTCCAGGAGTTCATCAATAAGATCAGTCTGCAGGCCACGGTCAGGGCGAGTGAGGAGATTGGGTGCTCGATCGAGCACGCGATGTCAACGCTGGCTACATCGAGGAACTTACCGCTTGGTTTCATGACCAGGCTGATGCGCAGATGGACGTGCCACTGGGCCCTCCTTCGGTGGCGCCGGGTACTTCTGCCGTTGCTTCCGTGCCCGTGCCGCCGCCCCCGCCTACGCGCCCTTCGCCGCCGGAGGGTGCAGCTGCGGCGAGTGCGGCATCCAAGAGGCCACCATTACAGCCACCTGCGTCAGTTGCGTCGGTGGCAATGCCCGCACCCCTGCCGCCGCCGCCGCCTCCTGTGACCGCTCCGACGGGACCGCCTGGTCCGCCGCCACGTCCGCCGTCGGTTCCCGCCGCGGATGCTTGTGCGTCGGTGGCAACACCCGCAGATGCTCCGCCCTCTGTGGAACCCGCGCGGTCAGCGGGGCCCGCGCAGATGAAGGTCACGGGTGCGCGCGATTGTGGAGCGCCTTCGCAACGCGAAACCGTGGACACTTTGGAGATGTACAACGACTGGCGTTACTCCGAGGGAGTACACCATCCGCTAGAAGATGCCTGACCTTTCCTTGGCCCCCCCCCCTCTGCGCGGGCGCTGTCGATGGAAATTGTGCCGGGAAAGTGCAGAGTATGCGCGCAGCCTGTATTGCGATGACTACGTCATCAAACATGTTCCCTACCTACACAACAGTGGATGTTTCCCCGACTATGCTTGGATTGTTCTTTGCAATGTGAGACCAAACAGTTGGGGCCAAATCTTCTCGCTGGCGCGCGCTGCCCTGGCCATGGCCTGGGGGCGCCGAGATACTTCAGTGAATCACTTTCGGCAGCCCCGCGTCATGATGACAGTGGCGCGAACGGTTTGAATCAACTCCTGGGCCGCCGTGCCAAGTTTTGGACATCCTGATGTTGAGCGTTGGGCCGTGGAAAGCCGGTCCCGATCTTCGGGCGCTATCGCGTCGGATGTGTTCAGGCGGAACAGCGGCGGCCCTGGCAAGGCGGCGGTCCATTCCCGCGTGCTCCAGGCGCTCGAGCTCGGACAACCATGGCAGAGTGCCCGCGAGTACTACGTCATCGTTGTCCTCCGTTTCTCCAGTTGCACCTTGACGACGAGAAGGCCCGATTCCACGTCTTTGTCCGCCCTCCTGACCCAGATGCTCCCGACTCCGACTTTGCGTGGGATCAGGTACTGGCCATTCGGGCCTGGAACATGGGATGGAGGCGCCTCCCATGGACGGATGTGAAGTGCCTGCGTGGTGCTACGACCCGTGATGCATGGGCGGGCATCCGCAAATCCGGTATCTTTCTTGGGTATGCCGCCGAAAGTCAGACGCGGAAAGAAGCGTTCCTCAATTTGTGTTTTTTTTTCCGTCGTGGGAGATGCGCGGAACCCGCGCGCCACGGTCCCTGGCTACAAGTTCGAGCACAGGAAAAAAGCAGGTCGATGTGGTTATCGAAATGCACGCGGCGTCAGCGGCCGGATGCGCATTCTGGCTTGGTGAGCAGGGTGTCATCATGTGGTCCCAGACTGATCCTCCAATGGCCATTCTGGCCATTCGGATGCTCCGGGGCCGTCCTCTTTTCCCGGAGCACAACATGCCATGGGCCCACCCTCCCTTGGCCGAGCTTCCTGAACCACGGAGTCAACGCGAGGTCTGTGATGTTGTGGCGGCGGTGACACCGGCAGCGGGTTGGTTGAGAAGGCGCATTTACACGCCGACACCACCGTCGAATCGCCGAGCCGACGATGTACCACACGTGCCACCTACGCCTCGTGGTTCGGTGGCCGCTGCAGTTGCGAAGAGTTCTTCATCTCCTGCCGCACCGTGCGTTTCCGAGCCGCGTGTGCCCCCCGAGGCCGCAGGTGACATGCGCGACGTCTTCCGTCTGGACACGTACTTGTCTGTCTCTGCGCCGGTGGGCGCACCTGCACCGCTTCCGGCTCGCCAGGACTCCCATGTGTCGCAGGTGTGCATCGACTGGTGGAAGATCGTGCAGGACTGCAAGAAGCATAACTTCGAACCTCTTGTCCGGGATCTTCCTTGGGGTACCTGAGACCGTACACCGCGATGCGGGGACATCCGTCACGGTGATTCATCTACGCGCGTCGGCACGGTCCAACTCGGTGTCGAGCTGTTTATCGCTTGTACCGTGTTACTAAGCAAGCGTCACTCATCCTGGCCAGAGGGCGTATCTTTGGACCCATCCTCGACGTCGAACACGACGGACCCTACGTCAGTGCGAGCATCCCGTGTTTTGGTCACGGCCCGTTTTGGGTCAACATTTGGTATCGCGATCAGGGTAACGACCAACGCGGCTTCCACTTCGCGATCCCTCTTCGTGACGACTTGCCGTCGGCTCGGATTGGCCATGTCGGCAAGTATGACTTCGACGACTTGAAGCTCGCTGAGGGGCAGCGAACGCGATCTGTGTTCCTGGGGCGACGGGGGAGAGGGCAATGCTTTTGTATGGCGAGAGCAAGCATGAGCAGCCCAATCGTGGGCAAGCGCATAACTGAATTCAGAGCCTCTCGCGAAGGGCGGCGGCAAGGACTGCTGTTGACCGATCAAGCGCGCCCGCCGAGCGTACGGGGATCTGGCCCTGGAAACAACGCTGCCCCCCCCAGCGACCTTCAATCGACGATCACCTTGGCTTCCCTGACGACGGCATCGTTGTTGACGTCGGTTGAAACACCCGCAGATCATGGCGATTCCACCGCGCCGAAGCACGACGACGGTCGCGCTGTCAGAAACGATGAGAACATGGTCCTGACTACGATCCAAGTCATTGAAGACTTGGGAACTGTCCGGCGACGCTTTTCGACGTATTCGTCAGTCTGGTGAAGGCATCGAGGGTCTCCCAGTGTCGATCGCCCCGCTCTGCGAGGTGGAACAGATATGTGCTGCGCAGAACGCGGGTAACACTTAGCAGTGCCGCAGCCACCTCGATATCAAGTTCCGCTTCGACTTCACCTCGAGCTGGTACACATGTCCTTTAGCCCGTTCAGCCCGTGGGCCAAACAACTCCCCGACGCCTGTGGACACCGCGGCTTCATCTCGACAGTGATGACGGAGACGGATTGGAGCGACGATGCTGATTTTGTGTCTCCCGTTGGATACCCCATCTCCTTTGCTCTTATACAGAACGACGCCACTCAGCGCCAAATGGAAACGACAGCGTCGGACATCCGAAGAGACTTTCCCGCCCTGGATTCCTTGTCCAATCTATGGGGGAACGATGTGTCGTCCAACCCGAAGTGCAACGCCTTTGTGGACGACCCGATGAAGGACAATATAGACCTCAGGGCTGACGTCAATCCGCCCCCTACCGACGCCCCTGGTCCTGCTGCCGACCCTGGTAGCTCAGCGTCCGCCGTTGCTCCGACCCAGGAACAACTACTGAGCGCTCTGCGGACCTACTCCGACGACGGTCTGCGGGGCGTCGAGCGAGAGGCGAGGGGCGTGGAGCTCCGCGCCACTGCGGAACGGCTCTTGACGGAGCATCAGGGCACGGCCTCAGCACGCCATACTCGCGATCAGATCTCGGCAGGAGACCTCTCCGATCCGATGGCTCACAATGGATTGGAGTCTCTGGCCGCCGATCTGGCCACCGATCGCGCTCGCTTGTTTCCGAATCATGCTGTCCATGATCTCGGTCGATCGTTGAGCGCTGATGGTAATGCCCGCAATCGCGTTTTGCGGCTGATCCAGCTTGGTGCCGAGGATTTACAGACCGCGAGGCGTCATTGTCCAAGCTGCTACCGCGATCTCCCCAACAACTTCCGAGGTGACCTCTGCTACGAGTGTGCAGTGAGTCGCAAAAGCATGGGGGGACTGGAGCTGCTCAGATCCACTTCCTGGCGGACGTGCACGCCAGGATCAGCGACGCCTTGAATGGGGGCATCGTTCGGCAGCTCATGCATGCTGACGTTCAGATTCGCCTTCGGGGCGCCCGCTCCGACGCGGGAGAATGGCGAGATTTCTTTCGCCGACTGGCAGGCAAGGCGGAGAACCGTTACGACAGGTGGGTGGAGGCCGGTGGCCCTCCCGCAAGGTCATGCCGATTCGGCGGTGCTTGCGCTGATGAGGGAGATGCTGTCCTGCATCGCCCATGTGCCGACATCGTGGAGCGTTTTCAGACGGATCCGTTGTTCTATGAACAGATGATTGGCGCCCGAAGACTTAAGGGCGAGCGGCCACTCGCGATCGATGATATGCGCGACGGCCTGCAATACTATCGTGACAGCGTGAGTTCTGGCTGCGCGGGCCGAAGGGCGCAGGCCCCCGGCGCGCTCGGCCGCGGCGAACGCATCGGACGTGGGCCCCTCGCCTTTTGAGCTCCCTCTGGGAGAGGTCAAGGTTCGATGGGTCGCGCCGCGCTGACTGAGCTCCGCGAGCAGGTCCCCAAAGGCGCTGGGAAATGTACCAGGCGTGAGGACCCTGCTCCCACCATTGGCCCTGTTCGCCTCGCCCCTGCACCTCCGCTCCCGCGCCGCAATGTCCCCGTCGGCGGCTGTGCCCATGGCGGCGGTGCTGGCTGGGCCGGCAACGCTGGCTCTGCGTCGAGTTCGCGGCGGCCCCCCGCGCCGCAGCGGCGGCCGCCGCGCGAGACGGAGGCCCGAGGCCGCCGGCGTAGTGCCGCGCGCGAGCGCCGCAATGTGTATACATGGTGGCGCCGTGACTTCCAGCATTACCAGCGTGATGCGTGTTGTTACTACTTGGTTCCAACGGAAGTTTCCTAGGAAACTCGCAAGAGGAATACTATGTATGTAAACCCGTCGGCAAGATGAAAAGTCGCGCGCGCGTGCTCAGCGTTCGCACGCACGCGACCCCAAGACGTCCCATGGCCACAACATGCTTCCAGGAATGCCTCAGGCCACGGACGATGACGTCCAGAGGGCCCAGGATGATGCCACCCCAACGCGATCCCGCCATGGATTCTGGACCGTCTCAGGCCGACTCGCAGATGACGAAACACATGAGCAACGCGTGACGCCGAGATGGCCCGATGGCAACAAGATGGATCCAAGCGCACCCAAGGTGGCCTCATAATGACCACGCGATGGTTGCGTGATCCAAACATGACCGGGATATGATCTCAAGATGACCTCAAGACGACCCCAACACGGCAATAATACTGCAACTTATGAGCCCCATCTTACTTCGAGCCGATCCCAGCATGGTGGGATCCGTGAACGGCCCGGGATTTTGGTCTACCCAATTTTTAATGGGTGGGATTTTGATCGTCCTGAACTAAACTTATAATATTAAAGCGGAATAAGCAGGCGGGATCCCGCCCGGCCCACGGAGGAAG